GGTTTTGTTATGTAAATAGGCACCTGTCTGAACCTTCTGACAAAAAAAAAAAAAAAAAAGGAACAAGAGGGCCATTTGAAAGAGATGTCCTATGGTCCATAAATGAATCAATAACACTTATGGATTATAATGTCCATGGAAACCCAAGAACCTCCAGTACTGGTCCCCCAGTCCCAAGCCTCCAGATAAGTATCTTTGACAAAACATCTTGATATTTCAGCTTCCATTCTTGCTATTTTCAGATAATATTGGAAAAAGCTCATTGCTAAGAACTCCAGAAAAGTATTGCTAAACACTGCTAGATGATATTATTTCATAAAGACAGTTTCCTAAAGTTCTGTTTAAATTATAAGCATTTATACAACTCCAGATGTAACTGAATATTTTCGATACAGACCTTCCCAGCTTTACTTTCCAATGGCTGAATCTGAAAGCTTTTACATGGCAAATGTGTGTTCTACTGCTGAGACACTACTTGTCCTTTCCTCCCAAAATATATTATAGGCTAGTCTTTCCCAATTTCATGCCCTCCAGCTGAGTTGTATTATGCCCTCCTATCCTCAGAAGCATACTAGCTGGTGCAAAGTACCTACTGAAGTGAAGTCCTGACTAATGTGCTGCAGGAAACAGCTTTGATTCTCTATTTTTCTAGGTTGTTTTTATTTTATTTTTTTAAAAAATATTAATGACCTAGATAAGGGGATGGAAAGGATGCTTATCAGATTTGGGTGGAAGAGTGAAACAGCCAGATACTTTAAAACAGGGGGTCTCCAACCTTGGCAACTTTAAGACTTGTGGACTCCAGCATAGCTGGCTGGAGAATTCTGGGTGTTGAAGTCCACAAGTCTTAAAGCTGCCAAGTTTGAAGACCTCTGATGTAGATAATATAAGAAGCAGATCAAGGAGCTGCTGAGAAACTTGGTCTCTTCTCACTTTATCGTTTTGACACAGGCTACAGTGGGACATGTACTTTTTGGAACACTATGACAATGTGTGTGTGTGTGTGTTTTGCCTTGAGGATACAATTTGGAGCAAGGCACTAATTATCTAGGTCCTTTTGCACTATAATTGTAGATGATTTCACCAGACGTATTTAATTTGTGGTCTGGACTAATTTAACCTGGCTGAAAATATCTACTAGTCACACCCCTGTGTGTACTACGTATGACCATTGGGTCAATATATTATATTCAGAAGATCCTGCTACATCATAAAAAGATAACAGATTGTTTTTTTTTATGCATACTTCCTTGCAGGATGAACAGCCTTTCAAAAAAAATTACTGCCGGTTTTGTGGGCGTGGCTTGGTGGACGTGGCTTGGTGGGCGTGGCAGGGGAAGGATACTGCAAAATCCCCATTTCCTCCCAATCAGCTGGGACGCGGGAGGCAGAGATTAGATGAAGGCGGGGGCCAGTCAGAATTTTAACTACCGGTTCTCCGAACTACTCAAAATTTCTGCTACCGGTTCTTCAGAACTGGTTAGAACCTACTGAAACCCACCTCTGCCCCCCCACCAATGTGCCAATGGTGGGGTGCATTAATTGAAGCACAGTCTCGTATTGAGAGATGTTGGAAAGAACCCAGCACACCAAGAAACAACCAAGTGTTTTAACATAGGTGGATCGTTGGGAAGGGGAACAGTAAGAAAGTATAACAAAAATGTTAGGCCACGCTTGGAATGCTGCATTCAATTTTGGTCGCCACGATGTCAAAAAGATGTGGAGACTCTAGAAAGAATGCAGAGAAGAGCAACCAAGAGGATTAGGGGACTGGAGGCTAAAACATATGAAGAACGGTTGCAGGAACTGGGTATGTCTAGTTTAATGAAAAGAAGGACTAGGAGTGAAATATGATAGCAGTATTCCAATATTTAAGGGGCTGCCCCAAAGAAGAGGGAGTCAAGCTATTCTCCAAAGCACCAGAAGGCAGGACAAGAAGCAATGGGTGGAAACTCATCAAGGAGAGAAGCAACCTGGAACTAAGGAGAAATTTCCTGACAGTGAGAACAATTAATCAGTGGAACAACTTGCCTCCAGAAGTTGTGAATGCTCCAACACTGGAAGTTTTTAAGAAGAGATTAGATAATCATTTGTCTGAAGTGGCGTAGGGTTTCCTGCCTAAGCAGGGGGTTGGACTACCCTGTTTCCCTGAAAATAAGACCTCCCTGGATAATAAGCCCAATCGGGCTTTTGAGTGCACGTGCTAAAATAAGCCCTCCCCGAAAATAAGCCCTCCCCCCAAAAAATTAAACACATGTGCAGCCAACCCCCACCATTTCCTCTGGTTAGGGTTAGGGAGACAGAGTTGGAAATCAGGTAAGATGGCAAGAGGAGCCCTGTCTTGCTCCATGCACCCCAAAATAATACCTCCCCAAAAGTAAGGCCAAGCGCTTATTTCGGGGTTCAAAAAAAAACACAGCATCTTATTTTCGGGGAAACACGGTAGAAGACCTCCAAGGTCCCTTCCAACTCTGTTATTCTATTCTATGCTAAAGTCCTGGTCTAGCGCTACAGCCCTGATTCCATCCTGATTCCAGATTTCTATTCTATTCTATTCTATTCTATTCTATTCTATTCTATTCTATTCTATTCTATTCTATTCTATTCTATTCCCATCCCATCCCATCCCTCCCATCCCATCCCACTCTATTCTACTCTGCTCTACTCTACTCTACTCTACTCTACTCTACTCTACTCTACTCTACTCTACTCTACTCTACTCTACTCTATTCTAAATCAAGCTCCGATGAAGCTGGAGAAAGGAAAAATCAATAAAAGCCTTCGAGTGGAGATGGCATGCATTTTTCTGCCTGGTAATGCGGTCATGGCAGTGATACCTCTAACCCTGATAGGCTGAGCCAACGTGTTGACCACAAAATGTCAACAGTCGAATGACTAATGGTGTCGGAATGTTCCCAGTCTAATCTCCAGGACAGATGGAAAGGGCATCCATTCAACTAGAATTAAAACATCCTCTAACTCCGAATAAGCTTTTTTAATGAAACAACCTGCTTCAAGCATCACATGCAAACTGTTTGCTCAAGATGAGGAATGCGCAGAAGTGGAAGTCAAAGATATGGGGCTGGGGAAGAGAGAAGAAATCACAGTTGGTGGAACAGAAATATAACATTTGCCATTTTAGTTTTTTTTTTTCCCCCACTGCAGTTCTCATGCTTTTCTTATCTTAATAAGACTTCATTGCTAGGTTCCAGAAATCATGGACAAAGGGGATCCATCTGATGGTTTCAAAAAGGGAGACTTGAAGTTATTTGTGGCCCTGAAGAGCAAACATTGCCAATCCCTGAAAAGAAAGACTAGGGGAGACATGTTAGCAGTGTTCCAATATCTCAGGGGAGGGAGAAGAAGAGAGAGAAGAAGAGGGAATCAAGCTATTCTCCAAAGCACCTGAGGGCAGGACAAGAAGCAATGGGTGGATATTAATCAAGGAGAGAAGCAACCTAGAACTAAGGAGAAGTTTCCTGGCAGTTAGAACAATTAATCAGTGGAACAACTTGCCTGCAGAAGCTCTGAATGCTCCAACACTGGAGCTTTTTAAGAAGATGTTGGATAACCATTTGTCTGAAGTGGTGTAGGGTTTCCAGCCTAAGGGGGTTGGACTAGAAGACCTCCAAGGTCCCTTCCAACTCTGTTATTCTATTGTCTATTTTATTGTTCTATTGCCTGCTGGATATAGTTGGGCATAAGTTTGAGTTCCAACAGGCATGATGGTCAAAGAAGATCTATGGGTTTCAAAGAAGGGATTTGACTCTCCCCAAACTGTTGGAAGTGTGGGGAGATAGGTACTTACTATCACGTATGGTGGACCTGCCATAAGGTAATCGAATTTTGGAGATTTATACAGAGGTGGATATTAGAAATCACGGGATATAAATTACAATTGAAACTAGAATATTATCTATTAAATATTAGGCCAGATAAGATAGGCACGAATATATGGTGTCTGATTACATATATCACAACCACAGCAAGAATATGTTTTGCTCAACATTGGAAGGGAAAAGACCTACCGGCTGAAGATTTGATTTTGGGAAAAATTATCGACTATGCGGAAGCTGACAGGTTAACAAAAATTCTGAGAGATTAAAAGGATTCCGTATTTTTTCAATGTTGGGACCAATGGTATATCTGGTTGAATAATAGAATAAAAAAAAGGATAAGGTTAGTGTAGATTTTATTTTTTATTTATATATCTTGACTGAGGTTAATATACTGTGTAAAGCTCCCATCGCGATCTGTGTGTGAATAAATATTTTGTTGTAAAGAAATAAAAAAAAAAGGGGATTTGAGATTATTTGTGGCCATAAGAGCAAAGCTTTTCATTCCCTGCTGGATTTAGTTGAGAATAAACTTGGGTGCCAGTTGGGTTTTAGGCATTGTGATCAAAGAGGATCTGATGGCTTCAAAGAGGAGACATGAGGTTATCCATGGTCATAAGAAGCAAATAGTCATAGCACTTTGACTTATATACCGCTTCACAGTGCTTTACAACCCTCTCTAGGTGGTTTAGGGAGTCAGCTTCTTGCCCCCAACAATCTGGGCCCTCATTTTACCCACCTCGGAAGAATGGAAGGCTGAGTCAACCTTCAGCCTGGTGAGATTCGATCTGCCAAATTGCAGTCAGCCGGCAGTCAGCAGAAGGAGCCTGCAGTTCTGCACTCTAACCACTGCGCCACCACAGCTCATAGTTTGACATTCCCTGCTGGATATAGTTAGATATAGCTTGGACCAGGAGAGATTATGCTAAACATTTCCCCCAAAAGTTGGCTTTTGTGCTAGACTTTAAAGGAACTAAAAGGTGGATCATACATACTGACCAATGAAGAAGAAAGAAGTGTATACAACTACGTGTAGAGAGCAGGAACTGGGCATGGCTAGTCTAGTGAAGAGAAGGACCAGGGTAGACATGATAGCAGGGTTCCAATATTTGAGGGGCTGCCACAGAGAGGAGGGGGTCAAGCTATTTTCCAAAGCACCTGAAGGCCAGACAAGGAACAATGGATGGAAACTGAACCAGGAGAGATTCAACCTGGAAATAAGAAGAGGAACTTTCTGACAGTGAGAGCAATCAACCCGTGGAACAGAAGTTGCCTTCAGAAGTTGTGGAAGCTTCATCACTGGAGGCTTTCAAGAAGAGACTGGTCTGCCATCTGTCAGAAATGGTGTAGGGTCTCCTGCTTGTGGGGTGGTGGGTTTGGACTATATGGCCTACAAGTCCCTTCCAACTCTGTTAATCTGTTAACGCAGGAGTCTTGCTGAAGGAGATGCTGCTTTTGATGATTCTTTCTAAGGAGAAGAAAATGACAGTGAAGTTGTCCCTGGAGTTTGATATTCCCTCACTTATTGTACTTCGTTCTAAGATGACCAAGTGCACAAATGATGTCTTTGACTGCACAATCCTCTCTGCAGGAGAATACGGCTTCCACTCACGCTCCACGCTTCCATATAGCAAAAAAAACAAGAACAAAAGTGTATTGTATCGGTCGAGTAAATTATAAAACGGTGCGTTAATAAGGCAAACCTTTAAAATATACCATAAAGAGTTCTGAGAGTAAGGCAGGAAAAAATGGGGGAAGAACAGTGGTGAAATTCAATTTTTTTTTTACTACCGCTTCTATGGCTGTGGCTTAGTGGGTGTGTCAGGGGAAGGATACTGCAAAATCTCCATTCCCACCCCACTCCAGGAGAAGGATACTGCAAAATCTCCATTCCTACCCTACTCCAGGGGAAGGATACTGCAAAATCGCCATTCCCACTTCACTCCAGGGGAAGGATATTGCAAAATCTCCATTCCCACCCCACTCTGGGGCCAGCCAGAGGTGGTATTTGCCGGTTCTCCGAACTGCTCAAAATTTCCGCTACCGGTTCTCCAGAACCTGTCGGAACCTGCTGGATTTCACCCCTGGGGAAGAACATAGTTCAAAAAAATGTGTTTCAAAGGATGTGTTTCAAAACACAACTCTTCTTTGTTTCACCTATTCACATTTTAGGGATAACCAAAACATTTTTTTCCCTCTATATCCTCCCCAGTCATCTCCTGGTAAAAATCAGAAACCCAAGCAAGTAAGGAGGGAAAAAAAAATACAAGCAGAAAAAATTAGGATCGTAGAAGCCTCTTTTTTTTTTTTTTTACACTAAGATGCATGCCAGCCCTCTGAAACTGGGAGAGGCTCTGTTGTTTATGATGGAAAAGATGAAAAGATGGAAAATATCCTTTAAAATCTCTCCCCTCAGCCTCAATTTCAGCTGGCGGGCAAGTGACGATGGTTTAAACTCCGTGTGTTGTAGCATGGGCTGTTTTTCCACTGGTTTAAGAGGTAGGAAAGAAGTCAGACAGCGGAGGGGAGAATGTGGTTTTTTTTCCTGTGGTTTCTAATTATTTCTCAGACTCCTGTCAATTTTTAGTACCACAAGGGCTTTTGACATGAGCTGGGGAAGCAAACCGCAGTGAGCCAAAAAAGAAAAAAAAAAAAAAGAGAGAGAGAGAGAGAGAGAGAGAGAGAGAGAGAGAGAGAGAGAGAGAGAGAGAGAGAGAGAAGGTTACTTCACTTCCTGTCCATTTGCCAAGCTTCACTAGTTGGGTAAATAATTTATTGATGATGAGGATTTAACATGGTTCCCTAGGAGTTTTCTCGTTTAGATAGTGCTACAGTCAAGGAAAAAGTTGCTTACCTCCCCACATGGAATATGAGATATTATAACTTGTTCTGGTTGTCCCAAAGGTGCATTTAGAAGAGGCAACTGGATTTATGGTTTTTTTCTTTGAAGACGTTTTGCTCAGTGGTGAAATCCAATGGTATAGGTATAGGTTTCTCTGTCCAGTCATCTCCGTTTCTTGGCCAAGGGAATCAGCATTGTCCGAAGACATTTTCTGTGTTCATGTAGCCAGCATGGCTATACATCAAAAGAGCCCAGAATGTTATTACCTTCCCTGAAGTGGTACCTATTCATCTACTTGCATTTGCATGCTTTCAAACTGCTAGATGGGCAGGAGCTGGAGCAAAGGACAAGAACTCACCCCATATCCAGCTGACAAACTCAGCATCTTTAACCGCTCAGCCATCGCCACACACCTGTAACATGGGAACAATGGTGACTAATGTTATTGGGATACTGTAGGACAACTGAAATAATCCCAGATAGGGAAAACTGTTTTAAACCATGAATACCAGCTGAATAGATTATAAAGTGGTGCACAGTATATCAACATATCCAGCCCAACTGCACCCCATTTTAGGTGTTCCTTTTGCACAAGTGACCGGAACAATCTCACACTCAACACACTCAAAACCGTAGAAATGGTGGTAGACTTTAGGAGAAACCCTTCCATACTTCCACCCCTCACGATACTAGACAACACAGTATCAACAGTAGAGACCTTCAAATTTCTAGGTTCTACCATATCGCAAGATCTAAAATGGACAGCTAACATCAAAAACGTCATCAAAAAAGCACAACAAAAAATGTTCTTTCTGCGCCAACTCGGAAAGCTCAAACTGCCCAAGGAGCTGCTGATTCAGTTCTACAGAGGAATTATTGAGTCTGTCATCTGCACCTCTATAACTGTCTGGTTTGGTTCTGCAACCCAACAAGACAGACACAAACTTCAGAGGATAATTAGAAGTGCAGAAAAAACAATGGCTACCAACCTGCCTTCCATTGAGGATCTGTATACTCCATGAGTCAAAAAGAGGGCTGGGAAAATATTTACAGACCCCTCGCATCCTGGACACAAACTGTTTCAACTCCTACTCTCAAAACAACCCTATAGAGCACTGCACATCAGAACAACTAGACACAAGGACAGTTTTTTCCCGAATGCCATCACTCTGCTAAACAAGTAATTCCCTCAACGCTGTCAAACTATTTACTAAGTCTGCACTACTATTACTCTTCTCATCGTTCCCACCACCCATCACCTTCCACTTATGACTGTATGACTGTAATTTTGTTGCTTGCATCCTTGTATTGATATTGTTTCCTGATTGCTTATTTGTACCCTGACTATCATTAAGTGTTGTACCTTATGATTCTTGACGAATGTATCTTTTCTTTTATGTACTCTGAGAGCGTATGCACCAAGACAAATTCCTTGTGTGTTCAATCACACTTGGCCAATAAAGAATTCTATTCTATTCTATTCTATTCTATTCTATTCTATTCTATTCTGTTCTGTTCTGTTCTGTTCTGTTCTGTTCTGTTCTGTTCTATTCTATTCCTATACCTATTCTATTCTATTCTATTCTATTCTGTTCTGTTCTGTTCTGTTCTGTTCTATTCTATTCTATTCTATTCTATTCTATTCTATTCTATTCTATTATTATTGTAATTTGCAATTAGAAGCCAGGGGGGGAAAAAGATTGCTTGAATCAAGAGTTTGACTGTATGAGTGTAACCTTGTTGCTGGTATCCTTACCATATATAGTAAAATATTGACTGTTTCCTAATATGATTTGATTGCTTATTTGTACTCTGAGACTATCATTAAGTGTTGTACCTTATGATTCTTGACGAACGTATCTTTTCTTTTTATGTACACTGAGAGCTTATGCACCAAAGACAAATTCCTTGTGTGTCCAATCATGCTTGGCCAATAAAGAATTCTATTCTATTGTATTCTATTGTATCTATTGTATTCTATTGTATTCTATTCTATTTTCTATTCTTTCCCATCTTTCTTCTCTTCTCTCTTCTCTTCCATTATTCTATTCTATTCTATTCTATTTCTACTCTACTCTATCTCAGTATACTTTATCTGAAAGCAAGAATGTATCTTTTCTTTTTGTTCACTGAGAGCTTATGCACCAAAGACAAATTCCATTGTGTCCAATCACATTGGCCAATAAAAAATTCTATTCTATTCTATTCTATTCTATTTCTATTCTATTCTATTCTATTCTATTCTATTCTATTCTATTCTATTCTATTCCAAACAGGCTAGGAAAGAGAATCTCAAATGACACCTAACATGGATATTATTGTAATTTGCAATTAGAAGCCAGGGGGGAAAAAGATTGCTTGAATCAAGAGTTTGACTGTATGAGTGTAACCTTGTTGCTGGTATCCTTACCACATATATAGTAAAATATTGACTGTTTCCTAATATGATTTGATTGCTTATTTGTACTCTATGACTATCATTAAGTGTTGTACCTTATGATTCTTGACGAACGTATCTTGTCTTTTTATGTACACTGAGAGCATATGCACCAAAGACAAATTCCTTGTGTGTCCAATCACACTTGGCCAATAAAGAATTCTTTTCTATTCTATTCTATTCTATTCTATTCTATTCTATTCTATTCTATTCTATTCTATTCTATTCTATTCTATTCTATTCTATTTCTTTCTATTCTATTCCAAACAGGCTAGGAAAGAGAATCTCAAATGACACCTAACATGGATATTATCGTAATTTGCAATTAGAAGCCAGGGGGGAAAAAAGATTGCTTGAATCAAGAGTTTGTTGTTAGCTTAGAAATCTTGGTTTCCTTGGTCTGATAAACTGCAATCCAAATTTGGGGAACCACAGAAAATTCTTGTGGCTTGATCGTTCAGTCCTGCAAATGGAAGAGTTAATAGGAAATGATCCTCACTGTACCAAAACAAACAACTTTGCCGTCAATTGTTTCCTTCCTGTCTTCCTTCTACATGAAATCAGCAGAACCTATTAGCTTCAACAGAATCGACTGCCATCTGCCAGTCTTTGCTGGACTCAATTGCTTAAAATGGAATTGCACAAAAAAAGAGAACATACATTTGTGAAGTTTTGCGTAGGAAAGGAAGTTAGGCAGGGTGACTTGCATTTCAATCAGATCCACATTTACATACACTGCAGAAATCATGGAACGTGTAAAAGAAACATAGACCCCAAACCTCCATAATAATAATAATAATTGCAAACTGGGAGAATAAATTGGGAGAATTATTTATTTTTAAAATAAATAAGTAAGTAAGTAAGTAAACCTAATTGGCTGAAAATATTGTCTGAAGGAGAATAATACTGTATTACTGAAATAGAGTGGACTGATTCAAATCACCCTCCCAGTGAGTGCATTACATAGGCACACACACTGATTACTCACAGTGTAGTTTATTGAACCACTCTCCATAATGCAAAAAATATATGAAACCCACTTCTGGGGATGTCCAAACTTGGTAACTTTAAGACCGGTGGACTTCAACTCCTAGAATTCCCCAGTCAGCATGGCTGGCTGGGGAATTCTGGGAGTTGAAGTCCACAGATCTTAAAGTTGCCAAGTTTTGGACATCCCCAGAAGTGGGTTTCATATATTTTTACCACTGGTTCGCCACACACGTGCGCCTTTCATGCATGCACCTGTGACCTGGCCTTCACGCATGCATCACCCAATCCGTAGCGGTAGCGATGAACGCGGGTGGTTCGGAGAACCGGTAGCAAAAATCCCTGCCCTTCCCCGCAATGCCCAGCTGAGCCGCGCAATCATCAGAGGCTTTTTTTAATTTTTAAAAGCATTTTTTCTACAACCTCTTCAGCCGAAAAAAATACTTTTAAAAGTAAAAAAAAAAAAAAAAAGCCTCTGATGATCCTGCGGCTCAGCTGGGATCGTCAGAGGCTTTTAAAAGCTTTTTTTTTTTACAACCTCTTCAGCCGAAGAGGTTATAGACAAAATGTTTTTAAAAGGAAAAAAAGCCTCTGCCGATCAGGCAACTCAGCTGGGATCGTCAGAGGCTTTTAAAAGCATTTTTCTACAACTTCTTCGGCTGAAAAAATGCTTTTAAAAGTAAAAAAAAAGCCTCTGATGATCCTGCGGCTCAGGATCATCATAGCCCCTGTAGAAAAAATGCTTTTAAAAGTTAAAAAAAAAAAGTTGGCCACGCCCACCCAGTCACATTACCCCCACACACCAAGCCACGCCCATAGAACTGGTAATAACAAATTTTACATTTCACCACTGCCATCACGGGTATAGGGTTTCCTCCTTGAGCACAGGGTGGGACTAGATGACCTCCAAGGTCCCTTCCATCTCCGTTAAGCTGTTATTCAGAGAGGACACATTTGCAAATCATGTGGTGGTGGTGGGGGTATGGTCGCAGCCTTCTTGGGAGCGCAGTTCTGGAGAACGATGACAATTCTGGAGAATGATTGGCGGTGCCGTTCCTTTTCTTTAATGATTCTTGGACCTATCCTGCATCACTCCACTGTGTTTTTACAAGGCCTGTAGCCGAAATCCACAGACGAAAAAAGCAGAGTACCCAAGGAAGTCTCTCAAAGGACGATATTTCAGTTTTATGGCTCGGGAGGGATACAATTCCATTTGCAACCATGAAAGCAGGAGACAATAAAAATGCCCTGCTTTAAGTTTCATCGGGCTGGTGGCCAAAGCAGCATTTCTCACAGGTAGGCTTCTGCGACGATAAATCCAGCCGTGGAAAAGAAAAGCAGCAACAGCACTATCTCGGTTAACAGATGGGCCCTGCGTAATACTGCAGGAGAAAGGGCTGTAAATCACGTCGGAATGCGCCTCCTTGTCTATTGTCTGGGCAACCAAGAGCTCTTCCCAGCTTTGAAAGGGAGGCAAAAGAGGAAAATGCAGGGGTCCGGAGCTAACAACGTTGCCATGCCCAAAGCTAATGTTAGGACTGCAAAGAGCCTTGGTAGTACAGGGGTTTAAGGCACCCTGTTATTAAGCTGGTTAATTAAGACCAGATGCCTGCAATTACTGCAGGGTTCAAATCTCGCCAAGGCTCAAGGCTGACTCAGCCTTCCATCCTTTCTAAGGTAGGTAAATTGAGGACCCAGTTGTGGGGGCAATAAGCTGACTTTGTATAAATATACAAAAAGGATGAAGGCTATTGCTTAACGCATTGTAAGCCGCCCTGAGTCTCCAGAGAAGGGCGGCATATAAATCAAATTAAAAAAAAAAGAGAGAGAGAAATGTAGGGTTGGCTTTTGATTTGATTTCTGCTTGAAGAAATCAGCTGGAGAAGCCCCCTTCTGGACAGAAGCCCATCTGTTATTAATTTTTTTATAACAGAGGTGATAAAACCAGGATGCCCAAAGCAGCTAAGAAACAATCCAGCAATAAAAATATATAAAAAAAGGACAGCAATGAAAGATCAAAGCAAGGTTAAGAAAAACCACAATATTAATAAGCGGGGAATGGAGCTGAGATAATAACTGGGGGGGGAATGGCAAAAAGGACATATTATAGACCATTACAAGGCCTCTTAACAGGCACTTTGAGCATCTGGGGAAAAGTAAGAGGATATAAATATGATAAATACAGTGGGTAATCTGATCTCACTAGGGATGCTATTATTAAAAAAAAAAAACCCTGAGGAGCTAAGGCTCAGAACGCTTCAGAACATATTAGCCTCTATAAAAGCATCCGAGGTGACACAGTGGTTAGAGTGCAGCACTGCAGGCTACTTCCGCTGACTGCTAGCTGCAGTTCGGCAGTTCAAATCCCACCAGGCTCAAGGTTGACTCAGCCGTCCATCCTTCCGAGGTGGTAAAATGAGGACCCAGATTGTTGGAGGCCATAGGCTGACTCTGTAAACCGCTTAGAGAGGTATGTAAAGCACTACAAAGCGGTATATAAGTCTAAGTGCTATTGCTATTGCTATCCACCTGATATCTTCAGAGAGTTTGGACCTTGAATTCTGGGGTCCTTATGGAGAAATGTTTTTACCAATAAGAGGAGGGATGCTACAAAATTGCACGCCTTAAGTTGCTTTTAGGATGACTTCACATTGGGTGGGATCTCCACTGCTAAGAAAAGTGCAGGGAAGGTTGAGAAAAAGAACAAAGGGCCCACAACTGTGTGCCACCAGTTGGCTTTGTGTGGTTCCATCACTTCAGTTGGGGGCACTGGTAACTCAGTGACAGTGGCTGATGCCTGATGCTGGTGGTTGTCCTTGGGACAATCTGTCAGCGTTCCAGCGCTGACATATGAAAAGAGAGGGGAAGCTTGAACTTTTGCCTACTTAATTCCTTTGAAGATTCTGTTTCCTCAGAGATGGGAGGAGGGGGGACATTCCTGTGATCTGACGGAGATGGGATGAGGAGAGTGGCTTGGAAGATAGCCAATGAGACGCAGAGAATTGGGGATCGGAAAGGGAGGGCTTGGGGGGCAAAGGTCAGTGCTGACCGCGAAAGAGCCAGGGACAGATCACTATGCTCAATAAAGAGAAAATTTCCTCAAAGATCGGCAGTTTGGAAATTCATTTATTTTGAGATAGCATCGAAACCTGACACAATCTAGTTCAGGGGTCTCCAACTTTGGCAACTTTAAGACTTGTGGACTTCAACTCACTCACGTCAGGGGCACCTGTGGTGCCCGGATGGGGCTGGGGTGATCCTCCTGCAGCCCTCTGCCAGTGAAAATGGAGCTCGCCGGGCTCGTTTTTGGCCATGACGGCAGCCCTCTGCCAGCCAAAAGGAGCTCTGTTTTACTGGCAGAGGGCTGCAGGAGGCCGTCACGGTCCCCGAGCTCCGTTTTCCCTGGCAGAGGCACTGCGGGCCGGTCCTTCACTATTTCCGGGGCAGCCCTGCGAGTCAGATCTAAGCACTCCATGGTCTGGATCCAGACCGTGGACCTTGAGTTTGATACTCTGGTTTAGAATGTCAGTATATTGTCCCCAATAATCTGGGTCCTCATTTTACTGACTTTGGAAGGATGCAAGGCTGCGTCAACCTTGAGCCGGTCAAGATCGAACTTCCTGGCTGTGGGCAGAGTTAGCCTGCAATACTGCATTCTAAACCACTGCGCCACAAGGGCTCTTTATCAAGTGCCTTGCCAAAATACAGCCTGCATTTATCTTGAAAATGATGAAAAATGTGAGCCGTGAGCCCTGAGCCCTGTCGAAAAGTTGGTACTGAACCCTAAAGTTTAATCTGATAGCAGAGGAAAGTATCACGTTCATAGGGTTTTATCCCTAGGTTTGATTTCTTTTCCTTTTCATTGGATGAAATTGAAAGGTAACCCCATGAAGTTTTGGTCCCACCAAATGGGATATGGTCAAGAGTGGGCTGCTGGGGGTTCGCAGGGGTTCGGGAGAACCTCTAGCTAAGATTCTGTGCAGTTTGGAAAATCCCCAAATCCCACTCCTGGCTGGCTCTGCCGACCCCTCCCTGCCCCTCCCAGGAGTCTCCACGCGGCCCGTTTTGGATGCAGGTAAGTGCAGGGTGTACGTGGAGGCTCAGGGACGGTGAAAAACGGGCCTATCGGACATTGGGGAAGGCCGGAAACAGGCCTGTTTCCGTCCTCCAGAGGGCCTACAAAGCCTGGGAAGGCTGTTTTTGCCCTCCCAGACGCTCGAGGAAAGCCTAGAGACCAGGAAGAGCAAAAATGACGCCCTCGCCATGGTGCAGGAGGCCAACTAGGCCATGTCCACCATGGCCATGCCCACCCAGCAACCAGGCAGAGGACCCATTGCTAAAATTTTTGAAGCCCACCCCTGGATACAGTCCTGCCCTTACCTGCTTTTTGCAACGCCCAAATCCCGTTGTAAGGAGCTATTACGCTGTGTTGCATGTTGTGATGCAGTGCAGGAATCCACTTTTCTGCGCTTAACTTCTAAAAGAGCCGCAGGATGGTTTGGCAAATTGGCTATAATTGCCCCCCCCTCTTTCTCCGTGAACGTAAGCAGGTTTTATAGACTGTTAAAACTCACAAAGGCTCTCTCTGGGTTTATTGCAAGCATAGCTTCAGCTCTCAGATCCTCTGGCTTTCAGAATGAGAGAGAACAAAGAGGAGCAGTGATGTTCTGGATTTCTGGGCCCGTGTCTTAACATTTAGATTTTCCTGTAAGGTATGGTGTGGTCAACTGGGAGAATTGGAAGAACTCCTGTTTGCATAGATTTGATCTGCATACTGTTCGATTGTTTCAAATCAGATTATTTTGGTTTGTTATCACGAAAGGCAGGGCTATAAGATTAATCGCTGGAGCAATCGGCAAATCCCTTGAGACAGGACTGGTCAAACAGTATTGTCAGGGTTCCCAGTAATAGATCCATATCAAGCGAAACTCCAAGGTAAGTAGATTCCTCAAAGAATAGCTTTATTGGAAATAGCACATTGGCACATATCTGGTGAAAACCGACTCTGAAAACTCCTGCAGTTTTCATCTAATTAAAAGTAAAAGATTTTGTTTTGGCTACAGAGTTCTCTCTATCTCAAATCCCCCCTCCCTATCCCTCAGCTTGAGTGTGGCAACACTAAAAGCAGCCAAAATGATCAGGTAAGCTTCACGGTTGACAGGTACTGGCTGTCAGGCACAAAAAAAATCAGGAGTCAAGGCGGTTCAAATGACTGCAGGTAGTCCTTGGCTTACAAGAATTCATTTAGTGACCTTTCGAAGTTACATCGGCACTGAAAAAAGTGACTTATGACCATCCTCCAGACTTCTGATCGTTGCAGCATCTCCATGGTCGTGTGATTTACATTCAGGTGCTAGCTGGACAACTGACTCACATTTATGATGGTTTCAATGTCCCAGAGTCCTTTTGCCACCTTCTGGGAAGCAAAGTCAATGGGGAAGCGAGTTTCACTTAACAACCGTGTTATTAATTTAAGAACTGCAGTGATTCACTTAACAAAAGTGGTGAGAAAAGTCGTAACATCAGGCAAAACTCAACAATTTTCTCACTTAGCAACATACATTTTGGGCTCAATTGTGGTTGTAAGTTGAGGACTACCTGTACAAGTTTATTGCATGCTAACACTCTACAAGAATGTGAACTATGAAAGGTCTAGGACAGGGGTCTCCAACCTTGGTAACTTTAAGACTTGTGGACTTCAATTCCCAGAGTTCCTCAGCCAGCTTTGAAGTCCACAAGTCTTAAAGTTGCCAAAAGTGCTGGCTGAGGAATTCTGGGAATAGAAGTCCACAAGTCTTAAAGTTGTGTATGTGCTGGCTGAGGAATTCTGGGAGTTGAAGCCCACAAGTCTTAAAGTTGCCAAAGTGCTGGCTGAGGAATTCTGGGAATAGAAATCCACAAGTCTTAAAGTTGCCAAGGTGCTGGCTGAGTTGTTAATGTTGTTAACATTAACAACTGGAGAAAGAGAATTGGTGAGAATTTTGGTTATAATGGAGAGAATTATAATTGCTAGATACTGGAAATTAAATGTTGACTTAAAATTAGAAGAATGGTACAATGAAACATGGAAATTTGCATTAAATGATAAATTGACTTGTGATATTAAAATTAGAAGTGGTATATATAAAGAAACTGTTTTTTGGAACACTTGGCAACCGTTTGTGGACTTTGCACTTGGGAGATGGATGAATCGGCACCAGTACCTTATCAAAGAGATTTCTGGAAGAATTGAAGACTTCAAGTTCCTAAAACTTCCTTTCTGTTTGTATAGCACGTTGGGGGAAAAAATTTTTTTCCCCTTACTATTGATTTTTTGTATTGATTTTTTTTCCTTTTGTTATTTTTTAACAATAAAAATATAATAAAAAATTTAAAATTAAAAAAAAAAGTGCTGGCTGAGGAATTCTGGGAGTTGAAGTCTACAAGTCTTAAAGTTTCCAAAGTGCTGGCTGAGGAATTCTGGGAGTTGAAGTCCACAAGTCTTAAAGTTGCCAAGGTTGGAGACCCCTGGTCTAGGAAACTTGCTGATAGACAGGAGTCAACGAAATTCAAGATGGGTTGGACTTAAATTCTCTTGTGGGCATGAAGGAACTCAAGATAGTTGACATGCTTGACCTTAAACACCTTCACCACTACGCCGTGGGGGTAGAATTGTGACGGTGAAGATACGATGACACTGCAGCACACGAAGAGAACAAGAAGAGAAGCCAGAAGTGGAAGAATTTCTGGAGCCTTCTTCCCGTCATAGTTCCCTGACAAAGCCACGAAATTCAGCCTTGAAAGCTGGTTAATCTTACAAGCCACACCGAGGAGGAGGAGAAGGAAAAAGGATGAACGGGACTGAAAAAAACATAGGATATTGTGTGTTTCCTCCCCTCCTCTTTTCTTTTGAAAGGAGCTGTGTTTTGAATCCCTCATCTTGGAACACAGTGTGAGGGGCTCCCTTGTGCCTGTCAGAGGAGGCTGGTAACGGCCCTCAATAAATCAAAGTGATGAAGAAAGAAAGGGCTAGAAAGCAGGAAAGCAGCTGATCCAGGCTTGGGAGGAACAAGAAAAGGTAGGTGGGGTGTGTGTGGGGGGGAAAGAGACTCGCTGGCAAAGCAGGGAGCCTGGAACAATCACGCCGTACATCTGCGGATGCGATGGATTATCTCTGGCTGGGAGCAAGCAACCGCCTCTAAGAAAATAGAAGTTGACGACAGAAGCATCGTTCACGGTGTTCCTGAATACAGATCCGCTTTGTCTTCGAGGACTCCGAAAGGAGTTTAAAGCAGTGGTGAAATCCAATTTTTTTTACTACCAGTTCTGTGGCCGTGGCTTGGTGGCCGTGGCAGGGGAAAGATACTGCAAAATCCCCATTCTCACCCCACTCTGGGGCCAGCCAGAGTTGGTATTTGCTGGTTCTCCGAACTACTCAAAATTTCCACTAACGGTTCTCCGAACTGCTCAAAATTTCTGCTACGGTTCTCCAGAACCTGTCAGAACCTGCTGGATTTCACCCCTGGTTTAAAGGTAAAGGTTCCCTCGCACATATGCGCTAGTCGTTCCTGACTCTAGGGGGCGGTGCTCATCTCCGTTTCAAAGCCTGGTTTAGCTTAACAGACAGAAGCACTGTAATTTAAGACCAGCTGTCTGCAATTAAAGTAAGATCGAATCTCGCCAGGCTCAAGGTTGACTCAGCCTTCCATCCTTTCTAAGGTAGGTAAATTGAAGACCCAGTTTGTGGGGGCAATAAGCTGACTTTGTATAAATATACAAAAGTATGAAGGCTATTGCTTAACGCATTGTAAGCCGCCCTGAGTCTCCGGAGAAGGGCGGCATATAAATCAAAAAAAAAAAAAAAAAGCCGAAGAGCCAGCGCTGTCCGAAGACGTCTCCGTGGTCATGTGGCCGGCATGACTCAACGCCAAAAGTGCATGGAATGCTGTTCCCTTCCCACCAAAGGTGGTCCCTATTTTGCTACTTGCATTTTTTATGTGCTTTCAAACTGCTAAGTTGGCAGAAACTGGGACAAGGAACGGGAGCTCACCCCGTTATGCGGCACTGGGGATTCGAACCGCCGAACTGCCGACCTTTCGATCGACAAGCCCGGCGTTTTAGCCACTGAGCCACCGCGTCCCCGAAAGGAGTTTACACATCTCCAAAATGGATAATAATAGCCTTTCGTCCTTGGGTCCCACTTTTCCCCACTGCCCAAGGAGGACTCAGACTTTTAAGCAGGGGCAACGAGCCAGCTGGGCAGTTGTAGCTCTTTTTTTTACACCCCCAGAGCCTCCTAAGACTGCACCGCCAGATGTTGGTTTTCTGCCACGCAAAACGGTAGCAGGGTTTTTTTTTTTTGGCTTTTTTTTTTTAAGCGGCTGGTTATGGTTAAAAAGTACAAGAGAAACATCCTACCTTCCCTTCCCACCCAACCTCGTCTTCCCTCTCGGCCCATTCCCTTGGCATCATTTCCTAATCCACTGCAGCCACCTTCCCATAATAAACACCGAAGCAGCATCCTGGCCAAGAAAAACTGGCTCATTTCAGGTTTAGGGCTGGATTTGTCTCTGGCTGTAGAGAGCTCCCGGGCTCCCTGGGCACCTTCCCCGTGGTTGGGCATGGATGGCAGAGGGTGTGAAAACTCTGGGAGATGAATGGCAGACATGGGCTGTAGACACAGGGGCCTGGAGAGGCTGAGGTCGGATTTCGTGACCTTTTAGGCACAAGAACTTGGATTCAGGGGTCTAGATAACAGAAGAGCAGAGTGGGAAGGGATCTTGGAGGTCTTCTAGTCTGACCCCCTGCGCATGACTTCTGCCCAACATAGTCTCCCATGTTAACTCACAGAAAGCATTCAAGGAGTTTCAATGGCAGAGGTTTAGAATCAAAGAGAACATCTTCTCTTCCTCCCTCCCTCTCCTTCCTTCCTTCCTCCCTCTCCTTCCTTCCTCCTCCCTCTCCTGCTCGCTCACTTGCTCCCTCCCTCCATCTCCTTTCTTCCTCCCTCCCTCCCTCTCCTCCCCTCCTCCCTCCCTCTCCTCCCTCTTTCCCTCACCTTCCTTCCTCCCTCCCTCTACTTCCTCCCTCCCTCCCTCCCTCTCATCCCTTCCTCCCTCCCTCCCTCCCTCTCCCTCACCTTCCTCCCTCCCTCCCTCTCCTTTTCCTTCCTTCCTCCCTCTCCTGCTCACTCCCTCGCTCCCTCGCTCCCTCTCCTTCCTCCCTCCCTCCTGCTCCTTCCTTCCTTCCTCCCTCCCTCTCCTTCCTTCCTCCCTCCCTCTCCTTCCTTCCTTCCACCCTCTCCTTCCTCCTTCCCTCCCTCTCCTCCTTCCTTCATCCTTCTCCTTCCTCCTTCCCTCCCTCTCCTCCTTCTCCTCCTTCTCCTCCCTTCCTCCCTCACCTTCCTTCCTTCCTCCCTCCCTCCCTCTCCTCCCTTCCTCCCTCCCTCCCTTCCTCCCTCTCCTCCCTTCCCCCTCCCTCCC